CCCCAAAACCCCAAAACCCCAAAACCCCAAGGATTCTGGATTGTTCGATTGTAGGTTTTAGAATAATCTAAATGATTCGAGAGCATTCTAGAAGATTCTAATATAATATTATAAAAGCAAGAATATTATTCTTGTTTAAAACTTAAAGAATCATAATGCAAACTAATTGTGACTCTGATTCATCATTTGATGAAAGTTTCTCTATTTTCACTAGACCTTTAAAAGACTTGCCAGTATTATAGTCTTATGAGTTTATAACTAGTTTTAATTCTGGAAATATATCAAACCCTAACTTAGGATAGGGAAATACATTCTAGCAAAATAATGACGAAGAATAGAAAAATTTAGATTAAGGAATTAGTTTCAAAAGCTAAAATGATCGAAGAGGGCAAAATTAAGAAAATGGAATACTAAGGTAGAGCCCATTTGAATGGCTAATTAATTTTCCGATGAATGCTCTGCCAGAGCAAGAGTAGGCATGGGCTGAAAATTAAGAGCCACTTGAAGATGATAAAATGAATCAAGTTTTGAGATATCTTGACATTGATGGGTTGAATTTTATTTCTCAAGATGAAATGCAAAGCTTTGATGAGAAACCGGATTTCATGGTCTCCTCTTCACATTTAAAGGAACTCTTTTCAGCACCGTACAATAAGGAAAAATCGATATCTCTCAAAGTACAGAAGTAAGGGGACATACTGAAAATCAATAGAATGAGTCCTATAAAAGGGAATTCAAAGGGTGCTTAAAAATATTTGCAAGACGAACCGGAAATCATTGAGAGAATAGAAAACCTTCACAATCAGCAGATTTAGAGTGTTAGAAATTAAAAGGCAAATAATATATGGAATCAAACCTGGACTAATATTTCATCTGACTCTTCTTCAAATAATGATTTCAGAACATAATAAGATATTTGCAAGCCAAGTAAATTTAGTGCAAATACTCTGTATTAGAAGATGATAGACAAGGGAGTAATGAAAAAGGATCACTTCTTTAGAAAAGACTTTGGCAGGGTCCTGCAACTAAAGATTGGAAACTTTAAAATGCTAATTGGTTCAAATCTTTTAATCTTTTACAAAAGTATGAACTACCCAATCAGTCTAAGGATTCTTCAATAGGAAAAAAAGCTTAATCCTCTTAGTTGCCTTGACATCTGGCTTGATAATGTACTACATAATGTTGATGAAAGTGCTATTTGCTATCATAAAAATGGGGTAGTTCAAGAATATAAACTTCTCAAAACTGAAGATATCCCAGATATTAATAATTAGAAAAGCTCAGAGAAAAAAGAATAAATTTTCGATCCCAAAATTGTCAAAGCAAATGGTTTAAACATCTTGAATTTCCTGAAAGAGAACTGTCTAAAAGAAGGAGGAACTTACTGGATCTTTAAAGATTCAGATCAAAATCAAATATAACTATATGACCTTGGAAGTGATGACAGTGATGAAGAAAAGAAAGTCGATGACCCTTAGGAAATCCTAAACCCATAAAACAGCCAATTAGTCCTTATGAATGATATAAGCAGCCTCAAAGAAAATTAGAAATAATCATTTATTCCATAAGATTATCAATAATCCAGAAGATATGCATAGAGTTTAGACTACAATGACCCAGTTACAAGGCTTTAAATAATGGATGAAAAGGAGATATTTAATAATGAAAATGCATTGGCTTATCTTTACTTGAATAAGGCGATGAGTATAACTGAGGAAGCAAAAGATTCTTAGAGTATCAATTAGATGAGAGATTACTTGCTGTCTAAATGCAAGTCTTCTCTAAATTCTTCAATTTAAAAAGGAATATTCTATGAATAAATTGAAAAAATGAATGAAAATATTAGAGATAATTAAGATTAAAATTACCCATCTCAGAGTGATATAGACAACTTAAGTTATTTGAATGAGAGTAATCATTCCCTTGCCTCTTAAAAGCAAATTGATAGTCTAAATTAAAAAGAATCTTTGATAGAGAAAAGGCTCATTAAGCTGAGAGACATTTAGAAGAAGATTGATTTGCAAAACTAAATATAAAATTAATAGCCTTTATCAACAAAAGATTATGAATTTTCAAAAAATCTTTGTCATTTTCACAGAAGTGCAAATATGAATAATCATAATAGTGAAATTGAATATTTCAAATAGATATCTGAGATTGATCTAGAGGATTTAAAGAATCAGTATCTTGATATGCTTCAAAAGCAATTACAGTCCACTAATCCTAATGATGTAAAGCTTAAGATCGAATGTTTGCACATTCTATATCATATTCTGCTAATATAATAGCAGCCAGATAATAAATCTCTAGATTATTGCTTTCAAATGTTGAAAGAAATAGATTTGATGAATGCAAGTAAAGAATAAGGCATTTGTTAAAATGATATGGATGTTGTTCTGATTTAAATTTGTGGCTAATCTATTATTGGGTACTAATACATGAAGGCTGCGAGATAAAGTTATTAAGATCATGATTATCAAATCTCACTCTAGAAGAAATATCTTGAATAAACTAAGCAAGCAGATGACTTGAACTAATTGAGTCTGCTAAAAATTTCATCCTAGTGCTATGAAAAATGTCTTCAAATTAAGGAGTAAAATTCAATTGTTTTGAAGGAATATCAAAATCCAAAAATATTCAGCCAAATATCTGAAGAATTAGGGTTAATCTACTATCAAATTTGCAAGTAAAATTAAACAACAACAAGAGATGAGTTTCTTAGGCTGTTGCAGAATACATAGGAGATCTTTACTAAAAATAAAGATCTTTATAAATTGGCTAGGATATTTATTGATCTATTAGAAAATGTGAAATTTCATTTTGCACTTATTGAATAAGTAAAAGAGAAATAGCTATTTGCTAAAGAAATTTAAAAGGTTTTCAAAGGCCTTAAGAAAAATCTTTGGCAATAAATGAATGATGAAGGCAAGAAAGATTAAAAGTTGATGAATGCTCTTGAAAGTAGTTAGGCCAAGCTACTTTTAGCTTTTGGATTGATTGTAAAAAATTAAGTTTCAGAGTTAGATTAACAAAATCATTCTATAGTTGATAATTACTTCGAATAATCTATTAAGAAATTGGAAAAAATCTAATCCACTTAAGATGAAAACAATAATTAAGGTTCTAATTTGCTTATTGATATTGCTGCTGCAAACTTTCACAGAGGAAAGACTATAATACAGACACTTGAAAATAATAAAATATTGAAATCAGATGAGAAAAGACTTTTAATTGCTAAAAAATGCCTCATCCAAAGTTCTTAATTTTTTTCATCAATAGGAAAATACATCGATAGTTTAAATGGATAGCTTTACATTTTGACAGTTCTAATAAATCAAGTATCAAATGCTAAATTAGCAAACGAGTTGAATTAAACTGTACTTGAGGTTAGAGAATTCCTAACCATGTTGTATAGAGACATCCAGAGTCTGAGAAAAATCAGGAAAAATTTAAAGCATGATATCAATGATAAGGAAACACTGTTGAGAACTTAAAATAGCATCGATTAATTGATCATAAATACTTCAAATTCAATCACTACTCTCGTTGAAGTAATAATTGACTCTTCATCTAAATTTAAAAATGAAGACTACAAGTCATTGCAACAAAGACTGGTAGAAATATAAAAATATATACAGAAGAAGCACTCAATTGAGGAAGTCATTTCTTTATTGTTGAATACAATTTAAGCCAAATGATCACTATTTAATTCTAATAATTCTTAATTTCATAAATCAATTCTACTTTCAAATTTGATTTTTAAAATGACGGGGTTTTGGGGTTTTGGGGTTTTGGGG